CCTCGGGTTTTGAAAAATCGCTCGATGTTAGCTCCGTGGCCCCCTCGGGGGCCTCCATCACTCGCACGTCGACCGCAGGTCAGGGCCATCAAAACCCATGAGCAGTTTCCCCCATCAAAACCCATGTCACGCCCTCCGACCAGACAGACAGGCCAGGACAGTGTCAAGTCCAGGTATCACTCGGGGGTCCAGCCAATACCCCAGCAACACTACCCGAACGTAACATGTGCACCCACACCTCCACAGCCTCGGTGGAGGTGAGATCCCCAAACCTGGGGAGCATAGTAGCATCCATACTCAGCACCTGAATGTGCACGGAGCGGTCTCGAGCAATGTCGTCTACTTGCCACTGAAAACCACCCTCTCTCCTATAACCCGACATGACGTGCAGGATGAACGTGAGAGGGCGAAAGGGAAGAGGACGAGGGGAGAGCACAGGAGGATCAGCATGAGGAGGAACTTGAATGATGAAACCTTTTCTCTCTCTGCCTTCTGGTGTGCCCTAGTGCGCTTGATTGTCGGCCCAATGGGTGGCCCTGAGCACCGGAGGGGCGGCAGATTGGCATGGGTATCGGACAGGCCTCGCCCCCGATTCCCTGCTGCTGTCGCGCGAGCCTCGGCACGGGCCTCGTCCAGCTCCGCGCTGGTGGGTAGCCCCACTGGAGCCTGTGCCCAGGATGTGCAACAGGTCGGTGAGTTCTTCAGGTGCTGTACTAGTCTCACGTTCTGCCTGAAATCTGCCAAGCAAACCTGGCACAACGATCCTATAGCCAGGGCTGTGGGGGCTCCCAGCTTCTTGTGATATCGTCCCATGTGCGTTCTCAAAGCCTGTTGGGTGGCAGCAACAAGCGTGCAAGACGGGCACTCGAAAAAAAGCTTCTTTGGGCTCAGGTGAGGCAAGAGGGGTGCGAGCAACAGCCAGACGCAGTCCCTGTCCCATAATGCACACTCCTGCTTATCCATCTTAACATGTTTTGCACGTTCAATGGCCCCCCTTAACATGGCGCGGAAATCTCGTGGGGCAGATCGAATGAAGTCAACGAGTCCACGAGGTGACATATCCCGGGGTCGGAGTGCGCGGGGTCCGCGTGGCCCTCAAGCCAACAACAATCATCCCTTAGTAATTGCGCCCGCCCATTTTCCGCTTGCCACGTGATGTCCGCCAGTACCCTATCTAAAGGAGGTGCGTGCTTAAGAAATCTAGCACGGTATCTCAAGCCTGCCATGGTCACGACCACATGGAAAGGTAACCTCTGTGCCTCCAAGAGAATCTGGTCGGTTAGGTCATGTTCTGCACTGTTGTTAAGAAAGGATGTGTTCTGTGCCGTCCTATAAATGGCCGAATGACTGGACTTCATGTTTTTGTTGTTGGAGCACAGTAATCCTAGGCCACACAGCAGTGGAGTAAAACAACACGAAAAAGCAAGTGATTCAGCGTACAGAACCTTTGCGCGCGTCGAAAGTTGTGTCCTGGGTGCCACTGTAGCCTTTATGGGTCCAAGGGCTCCTCGAGCTTTACCTACCCTGACCGTGACCTCGGCTGCCATGGATCCCGAAGCAGCAACTTGAACCCCTAAGATTTTTGTGACACCTGACCAGGGGAAAGCACATCCCCACTTGGTGGAGCGAACTTCCTGAACATTGCCATCGGCATATCCAGGGACCGAGCGGGATCCAGGACCACGTAAAGCCAAAAACTATTTCGTTTTGCTGGGTATGGGTCTCAGTCCATAATTGAGGCAAGCTTCATGAACCACATCGGATACTTTTTCCGCAACCGACCTCCTTGGTGCAAACCGACACTGTGAGATCATCAACGAAAGAAAGGCCGGGCTGCGCCTCTTCCCAGTCATCAGCCCGCGAGCAAATGTGCCCAGGACATGGGCAGCGGTCCTGCCCAGCGCATTCCAGATCCTTCAAGTCCTGTCTTGTCTTGACAAGCACAGAACGAAAGGTGACGTTAAACCATCTGTGGCTGGAATGGTGCCTGGTCTCGTGCCTCCTACTGGGGCAACATAGTTGTCGGCATTACGCACCTGCCAGCATGTTCCCCGCTGCGTTTCCCTAACCAGCGCCATAAAATGAACACAAGTGAGGTGATTCTCGATAAGCTTAGGAGCATTCAAACACAATTCCGCGCCCTCGTACAGAAGTGGGGGGAGTTGTGCACGTTCTAGGGCGTCTTCCAACTTGCGCTCGTCCCCTGGGAGCGAGGTGGCAAATTGTTCCATCACACTATAGAAAGCATCGACCAGATCCAGGGACAAACAAACCGAGGAAACCTTAGCGTTAACACGCGCAGCATGGAACTAACGCAAACCATGTAGCGGCACCTCGGGCCCTTTGTGCGCAATCCCCCCGCATTGTTTTCTGAGCAGGCACATGCTGAAGAAATCTGATGCCAAATTCCGAACGTGACGATGGTAAACCTTACATATGCTTCTAGCCATGGTCGTATTACGTTGTGACTTCGCGGCCTGGGGTGGCCCAGAGCCCTTGTAGAACAACGTGACCTCCCCTAGCTTGAAGACCAGTGGCCCCCTAGCAGCTCACGCAATGTTATTGAAGAGGGGGCGCAGGGTGTGAGCGATCTCCCCAGGGGCCGCTTTAAAGAGGGAGGTGGGGAATCCGTCAGGGCCTGGTGCCTCGCCCGATCTGAGCCCTCGAATGATGTGCTCTATATCCAGAGCAGAGGGCATCACATAAGGAAAAAGGGTGCGAGGGGGAGGGAAAGGAGATGGGGAGACAAGCGGAAGACAGGGAGAGGAGGGGGGCACGGTCGGTTGGAAAAAGACAGGGGGCGGCACGGGACAGGCACAGGGGAGGGGGCACGGCCGGTCGGAATAAGCCAGGGGGGGCACAGGGGACGGGAGGGCGGGGGCACAGTCGGTCGGAATAAGCCAGGGGGGGCGCTCGTGGTACGGGACAGGGGAAATGCACGGGACAGGGAGAGGGGAGGGGGCACGGTCGGTCAGAATAAGCCAGGGGGGGCGAGTGGGGAGTGAATTGGGGAGGCGAGGGAGACGGCGGGCAGGGAGAGGAGGGGAGCACGGTTGGTCGGAATAAGCCAGGGGGGGGCACAAGACAGGCAGAGGGGAGGGGGCACGGTCGGTCGGAATAAGCCAGGGGGGGGCACGGAGGACGGGTGGGCGGGGGCGCGGTCGGAATAAGCCAGGACGGAGCACGGAACAGGGAGGTGGGAGGGGAGCGCCGTCGGTCGGAATGAGGAAAAGGGGAACGAGGGGGAGGGAACGGGGAGGGGAGGGGGGCGGAGGGCCCCGAGAGCACTTGGAACCGTCGCGTGACCTCCGTCGGGTCATTGTGAACCAGATTCTGCTATGTTGCTCCATCTTGGACAGCATATTGGAGCATCGGAAGGGGCCTCTCGGAGCCATCTCGGGCGAGAAGTGACCCCCTGTCGGTCACGTCGCGCACCCCGCCAGAAATGCTCAGGGAGGGAGGGGGAGGGCACCCCTCCCCGAATGTAATATGGTTCTGGGAAGAGGAAATCAAAACTCGCTAGACCACGTTCGCCCAAATTTTTGGTGGGATTCGAAGGTTCTATAATGCAAACGGTGAGAACGTCGCAGGCGACACGCCCGAGACGCAGCCTGCCTTCACGACAGGCCTGGCGGCGCGGCAAGGACGAGTTTTCATAACGAGTAAGGGTGGGGAAGGAAGGGGTAGAGAAAGGAGGAGGAAGGATCTGTTGGGGGATGGGAAGGAGGAGGAGCATGCTGAGCAGAAGGAGGATACACAGAATGCGGAGGCAGGAGCATGAGCAGAAGGGGGATGCACAGAATGCGGAGGCAGGAGCATGCGGACAAGTGCAGCATATGTGTGGACGCGGCGGGGAGGGGGGAGGGAATGACAAGGCGGGTGAAGAGAATTGGACGGAACACGGGGAGGAGCTGGATGGCGATGAGAAGGCGGACCAGGGGCAGGAGAGGGGCATACAAGACCATGCGGGGAGTGTGGGAAGCATGGGGAGAAGGAGGTGGAAGGAGAGGAGGAGAGGCCCTTGATGAGCAGGCCCTCGAGAGGAGCCGAAGCCGACCTCAGCAGGTCTTTCAGAGGCCTGTACTGCCGGTGCCCATGAGATGCCCGAGTCAATCCAGGAACTGGTCCAGTGATATAGTTGGCCTCTGGAAGGACGAGCAATCATCCTGCGTTGCGGCACGAACGCGCGCTGCCACATTATACTCTGAAGGTCACGGGGGGAGACTGTGATGGTCTCGGTCGTCGGTCGACGTCTCTGTTAATCCGCGCGCATACCTTAATATCGTTTGCATTGCAGGCTTGGGTCTTTCGAGCGGCGCTCGATCGAACATGTGGTGTACCATGTCGCGGCCCGAACGCAGCGAGACAGCAGGAGGCGTAAGTGTGCGCGAGAGGACTGTTGACGCACAGTTGGCTTGCCGTGTCGATGCGTGCAGGGTCTTGTCTGCGCACGCTCCGCTGGTGCAGCCCGTGGTATCCCCCTGCGTGCTCCCGGGTACCAGTGTAACACAACGACTTGATGCAGGCATGCGGCAGTCGTGAGTTCAGCCATGTCGAATTCAGTTCGCTAGCCATATGTTTGAACATTTCGTATACTTTGGATCTGCGCTCGTGCGCTAACCTCCTGAACCCCACATCCACCCCTTCCTGCCCATTGCGAAGGATACGCGTGCTCGGTGCGATTGCATTGATTTTCGTCCCTGGAAAGAAACGATTCCCCATTGACCTCTTCGACGAAACATCCCGCCTTGCCCATGGGCCAGTGAAGTCCAATAATCCTGTATGATTTTTGTTTGCGCTCATACAACGAGACTGTGAACGTTAAACGTGTTCCGAATGAAATCTTGCTGCTTATGTTGTCGTCCTGCTATGCCGCCGTCAGGGGGACGTCGATCGTGAACCTGGGGCCGCCGTCATACCGCAGAGCAAACGAGGCGGTACGAAGCGGGGCTGGGCGGGGAGAGGCGATGCGATGTGCTGGGGCTGGGGCGTTGACTGAGGTTTTTCATCAACCTGCAGGACAGCCTGGGCCTCGGCGCCCGCGCCCGCGCCACTTTGGTCGGGCGGGGGGGAGGCGCTGGCGCCGAGAGACGTGCGGGCAAGATTTGTATCCATATCCACTGCGTCTTGGAGTTCTGGGCTTCCTTCCCCAGAAACCAGAGCCCGCTAGACGCGATGGAGTTCATTTCTCCGCTTCCTCCCCGCCCCTCCGCGGGAGGTTCTGCAATGCGCCACGAGGCTGAAGGCCACGCTGGATTCTTACATGTGTGTAATCGTGTTCAGGTGCCCTTGATGAAGGGTCAGGATACCCGCACAGACGCACCCCATGTGATCACGTCGGGACCTCGCGGCTCCCTGCGGGGGGAGCTGCGAACTGCGCAATTGTCGGCACTTTCGTGGGCTCCTGGGAGGCCCAGCGGAGTGGGGTTACACGCGGATCGCGTCGGGACCTCGCGGCTCCCTGCGGGGGGAGCTGCGAACTGCGCAACTGTCTGCACTTTCGTGGGCTCCTGGGAGGCCCAGCGGAGTGGGGTTACACGCGGATCCTCACTGCCGCTCCGCATTTCCCTGCTTCTCCTGCCCCTGAACCTCCTCCTTCCCGCTTTGCTCCTTAAGGTATGACTTTGCGGGGCGCTCGAGAGAGTATTTATCAAGCGTTGCAGGGACCTTTGTGGCTACAGCAGGGAGCGTGAACTGAGACCCTGGCGATATGAAGGCGTCAGCAGCAGAAGCAGCCGCTTTACAGCGAAGGCAAGCGCCGGGGCCCTTTACCCTGGCGTGTTCTTCTACGCCCCTCGTGTCCGATGGGCTCGTCCATCTAGCCCCTCCGCGCGGGACGGGCGCGCAGCTACCGAACGGGGTGGGGTGACGCTCTTCGTTTCCCCCCCCCCCTCCCCCCCTTCCTCCCCCCCCCTCTCACTCTCAACTGCACTCAGGGGCCTAAGGCCGGGAACTTTTGGATAGCGTGTCGCTCCGCCGGTTCTGGCCCACGGTGCCTCGGTGCCACACGCTATCCAATTCACGGCGTCGAGGCGATAACGTCCCGAGTGTTCCCGAGGCTCCCACCCCGCGGAGCAAAGCGACACGCTATGCGCTTGCACGACGCAGCGTGCCGCCAGGGCCGCCGCGGCGACACGCTATCCAAACTTTCCCGACCGTGCGTTTTTCTCGTCCAGGTACACATCGCCCTCTCCGCGTTCTCGATTCCTTTGCCCTCGGCCCCTCTCGCCTGGTCGTGCTTGTCCTCTCGGATTGAGAGCATCTCCCACTCCGCTTTCGCGGCGTTCATCGGGATGAGCCCTTTTCCTTCTTTCGCCTATACCTGGGACTCTCCCCACGCGTGTCAGGTTCCCATTGCGCCCGATGAAATTGATGTTATCTCCACATGCTTAGTGGTGTCATGGTTTTCTGCCAACCCGTCTCCGACTCCAACCGTCCTCCGACACCAACGATCCTCACCTCCTCCTCCCCCTTCCTCCTCCCTCCTCCTCCTTGCTGGTACACCCTCGCCTCCTCCCTCTGCTCCTCCTCATCCTCTTCACCTCCGACCTCCTCCTCCTCCTCCTTGCTCGTACACCCTCGCCTTCCTCCCTCCCTCTCCTCTTCCTCCTCCTCCTCCGCCTCCTCCTCCTCCTCCTCTTCATCCCTCTACCCGCCGCCGACGCGGAGGGCGCGCCGATGGCGGCGGAGGGGGCGCAGAAGGCAACAGACGCGGAGCGGGCGCTGAGCCTCTTCCTAAAAGCTTGTTGCGTGCACTCGCAGCTACTGCGAGACTTGGCCGCGGCGATCTGGCGAAGCGTCATCGCGCCGCCCATTGCCTCGAATATCGCGGTTTCCAGGGCCGCGGGAGAAATGCGCGCGGAGGTTGCCGGGCCCCCGAGAGCAAAGGGCACGCTGGGGCCACCGCGCTAACACATGGCGCTCGCAGGATTCAGGCGTCTCGTGGAAGCGGAGTTGAGCCTAACGATCGGGGGGGACCCTCGAAGTCGTTCGCTTGGTCTACGAGAAGTTTGTACGGAGTGGACATCAGCAGGATCTCGGATCATCGATCCGGCACTTCAGCTGCAAGAAATGTTACGATGAGGGCGCGGCGAGGCTGCAATTCGCGATAGTGGGCGGGGCGCAGCTACAGGGCGACCAAGACGAGCCCCAGGCGCACCCGAAGCTGATGATCGAGAACGCGACCGCGCAGCCTCTAAAAGACATGGGCGGAGTTCCCAAGCAGGGCACTGCTCCCCGGGGCCACCTCGAGAATCTGGTGCAGAAGACTGGCCCGAGCTCCGCTTTACCGACATGGCAAGAGTCCGTTTCATGTTCTCATCTTCTCGGCTCGCGTCCGATTCAGCCCAGCTCGGAAGCGGCTTCCCCGCTGCCAGCCAATCGGATGCCTTCGCAGCCCGAGTGTCTGGCGATGGGGAGGTTGATCCCCTGAGGGGCCGATTCGATTTGTGCTGGATCCTTTTTGACCTTCTGCGGGCTGGGCGGGCGCCTCGGGGCCCACAGGGGCGCCCCCGCCCCAGCCCGCGCCCGCGAGCGACGCGTCATATTGCGCACAGCCGCTCAGTATCGTAACGAGTGCTGCACGGCGCGCGTTACCAGTAACTTGGCATAGTAGATATGCGATCCAGCGTGCACGAGTGCCACACTGTGCGCGCAGTTGCAGTGAACCCCCCACACACACGCGCAAGGCCGAGTCTTACCCTACCCGATGCTCGAGCGCGGCAGCTTCACCCTGGGGTTCCCGAGGAACATTGAGGAGTGATCAGGAATCCTGCGGGGCCTTTAGGTTCCCCGACGATTCTTTGATTTGCCCCAACCATCCTGTGGTGTTGGGTCCTCGCTTTGAAGAGACAGCGCCAAGCGTTCTCACTCCTCCTCCCGCTCCTCCCCTTCCCTCCTCCCTCCTTCCTCCCTTGCCTCTGCCTTCCGCATGTATCTGGGTCGGCACACCCCACGCGTTTCGTGGCCCCAGGGTGAGCAACACCCAAAGCCCCAGTGGCAAAGTTCGCATGGCTGCCCCGCCCCTTGTCGGCACACCCCTCACACGCTGCGTGGCCCCATAGGGAGCTCCACCGAAGGCACCAGTGGCAAAGTTCGAATGGCGGCCTCGCCCCATTTCGGCGCACCCCTCACACGTTTCTTGGCACAGGCGGGGCCCCACCGAAGGCCCCAACGGCAATGTCCGCATTGCGGCCCCACCCATTTGGCTCACCCCTCACACGCTTCGTGGCCCCATAGGAAGTCCACCGAAGGCCCCAATGGCAAAGTCCACATGCCGGCCCCGCTCCAATTCGGCGCACCCGTCATACGTTTCGTGGCCCCATAGGGACTTCCACCGAAGGCCCCAGTGGCAATGTCCGCATGGCGGCCCCGCCTCTTTCCGGCGCACCCCTCACACGCTTCGTGGCCCCATCGGGAGCTCCACCAGAGGCCCCAGTGGCAAAATTTGCATGGCGGCCCCGCCCCATGTCGGCGCACCCGTCACACGTTCCATGGCCCAACGGGAGCTCCACCGAAGGCCTCAGTGACAGGGTTCGCATGGCGCCACCGCGCCCATTTCCTCACACGTTTCGTGGCCCCACACGGAGCTCCACCGAAGGCCACACCGCACATATTTCGGCGCACCCCTCACACGTTTCGCGGCCCTTTGAGGAGCTCCACCGAACGCCCCATTGGCAGGGTTCGCATGGCGCCATCGCACCGATTTCGGCACACCTCACGCGTTTCGGGGCCCCACAGGGAGCTCCACCGAAGGCGGGTTCAAAACTGCGGTAGTCACAACTGCATATGGTTGGGTCCTTCGCCAGGATAATTCCCAACCGTCCTGTGGCGTTGGGTCCTCGTTTTGAAGAGACAGCGTCCCGCGTTCTCCACCTCCCTCCTCCCCACCCCTCCTCCTCTCACTATCATCATCATCATCATCATCATCATCATCATCATCATCATCATCATCATCATCATCATCATCATCATCATCATCATCATCATCATCGTCATCGTCATCATCATCGTCATCGTCATCACCATCATCATCACCATCATCATTATTATTAGTAGCATCATCATCATCTTCATCATCACCATCACTACCATCACCACCACCATCACCATCATCACCATTATCATCATCACCATCATCAGCATCATCATCATCGCCATCGTCATCATCATCAGCACCAGCCATAGGGAGCTCCACCGAAGGCCGCAGTGGCAAGTTCGAATGGTGGCCCCGCTCCACTTCGGCGCGCTTACACGCTTCGCGGCACCATAGGGAGGTCCACCCAAGGCCCCAGTGGCAATGTCCGCATGGCGGCCCCGCCCCATTTCGGCGCAACCCTCACACGTTCCGTGGCCCCACAGGGAACTCCACCGAATGCCCCAGTGGCACAGTTCGCATGGCGGCCCCGCCCCATGTCGTCGCACCCCTCACACGTGTCGTGGCACCATGTGGAGCTCCACTGAGCGCTCCAGTGGCAGAGTTCGCATGGTGGCACCGCCCCATTTCGGCGCACCCCTCACACGCTCCATGGCCCCATGGGGAGCTCCACCGAAGGCCCCAGTGGCAAAGTTCGCATGGCGGCCCCGCCCCATTTCGGCGCACCCCTCATACGTTCCGTAGCCTAATCGGGAGCTCCACCGAAGGCCGCAGTGGCAAGGTCCGCATGGCGGCCCCGCCCCAATTTCGACGCACCCCTAAGACGTTCCCTGGCCCCATAGGGAGCTCCACCGAAGGCCCCGGTGGCAAAGTTCGCATGGCGGCACCGCCCAATTCCGGCGCACCCCTCACACGCTCCATGGCCCCATGGGGAGCTCCACCGAAGGCCCCAGTGGCAAAGATCGCATGGCGGCCCCGCCCCACTTCGGCGCACCCCTCACACGCTTCGTGGCCTCATAGGGAGCTCCACTGAAGGCCCCAGTGGCAAAATTTGCATGGTGGCCCCGCCCCATGTCGGCGCACCCCTCACACGTTCCATGGCCCAAAGGGAGCTCCACCGTAGGCCTCAGTGACAGGATTCGCATGGCGCCACCTCGCCCATTTCGGCGCACTCCTTAGACGTTTCGTGGCCCCACAGGGAGCTCCTCCGAATGCCCCACCGCACCCATATCGGCTCACCTCGCAGGCGTTTCGTGGCCCCATAGGGAGCTCCACCGAAGGCCCCACTGGCAGGGTTCGCATGGCGCCACCGCACCCATTTCTGCACACACACACACACACACACCTCACGCGTTTCGTGGCCCCGCAGGGAGCTCCACCGAAGGCGGGGCTCACAACAGCGGTAGTCACAACTGCATATGGTCGGGTCCCTCGCCAGGATAATTCCCAACCGTCCTGTGGTGTTGGGTCCTCGCTTTGAAGAAAAAGCGTCCCGCGTTATCCTCCTTCCTGCTCCCCCACCTTCCTCCTCTCACCATCATCTTGATCATCATCATCATCATCATCATCATCATCATCATCATCATCATCAGCAGCAGCAGCAGCAGCAGCATCATCAGCATCATCAGCAACATCAGTGTATGCTTCATCATCTGCATCATCGAATACATCATCATCATCATCAGCAGCAGCATCATCATCATCGTCGTCATCATCATCACCGTTACCATTATCATCCTCCTCCTCACCCTCCTCATCATCATAATAATCATCATCATCAGCATCATCATCATCATCAGCAGCATCATCATCATCGCCATCGCCACTGCCATCGTCATCATCATATCCACCCATAGTGAGCTCCACCTAGGGCCTCAGTGGCAAAGTTCGCATGGCAGCCCCGCCCCATTTAGGCGCACCCCTGACACGTTTCGTGGCCCCATGGGGAACTGCACCGAAGGCCCCGGTGGGAAAGTTGGCATGGCCGTCCCGCTCCATTTCGGCTCACCCCTCAAACGTTCCGTGGCATCATATGGAGCTCCACCGAAGGCCCCAGTGGCAAAGTCCGCATGGCGCTACCGCGCCCACTTCGGCGCACCCCTCACACGTTTCGTGGCACCATAAGGAGCTCCACCGAAGGCCCCACTGGCAGGGTTCGGATGGCGCCACCGCGCCCATATCGGCTAACCTCGCAGGCGTTGCGTGGCCGCATGAGGAGCTCCACGGTAGGCGCAGTTGCAGGGTTCGCAAGGCGCTCTCGCTCCATTTCGGCACACCCCTCACACGCTTCGTGGCCTCATAGAGAACTCCACCGAAGGCCCCAGTGGCAAAGTCCGCAAGGCAGCCCCGCCCCACTTCGGCGCACTCATCACACGATCCATGGCCCCATGGGGAGCTCCACCGAAGGCCCCAATGGCAAAGTCCGCCTGGCGCCACCGCACCCATATCGGCGCACCCCTCATACGTTCTGTGGCCCCATAGGGAGCTCCACCGATAGCCCCAGTGGCAAAGTTCGCATGGCGCCACTGCACCCATATCGGCTCACCTCGCAGGCAGGCGTTGCGTGGCCCCATGGGGAGCTCCACGGAAGGCGCAGAGGCAGGTTTCGCAAGGCGCTCTCGCCCCATTTCGGCAGACCCCTCACACGCTTCGTGGCCCCATAGGGAACTCCACCGAAAGCTGTATTCATAACGCGGTACCCCCAATTGCAGATGGTTGGGCTCTTCGCCCGGATTTTTTGTTTTGAAATTCTGATTGGAAACGTTCTCTCATATATTTCAGAATTTCGATGGATCCGTCCATGTTCACCAAGAATCCAAAGGATCCCTCAAGGACTCCGAGCGGGCTCCTGCAAGGCAAAATGATGAACACCGCGGCTAGAGCGCTGCTCCGGCCCTGTGGACGGTCGCCAAACGGCGCAGCGCGCGGAGCTGTGGGCTGCCACGCACGCGTGCAGCCTGCCTGGGGCGCCAGTGGACGTCGTCACCGACTCGCGATTCGTCGCGCGTGGGGTGGTCGCGCTGCGCGGCGGCGCGAACCCGATGAATTGGCAGCATGCTGATTTGTGTGAGGCGATCGCGCCGCTCTGCCGCACCGGGCTGCTGCGGGCTCGCTGGGTGAAAGCTCACTTAACCAAGGCGGAGGCTGCCGATCGGGGCATCTCGGCGGAGGACTGGGCCGGGAACGACGCGGCGGGCATTCTGGCTGGCGCTGGTGCGAAGATCCGGCTCCCACGCGGCAGCTGGAGGCGCTCGCGGCGGTCCAGCGCGCGGCGGCCGCCGTGGAGCTGGCAGCCCTGAAGGCCAACCACGGCCGCGCCGGCCCAGGTGGGCCCAGAGTCCGGCGCCGCTGGGTGGCGCCAGGCCACCGCCGCAGACGGGCGCCGCGAGAGGGGGATGCGGCAGCAGTCGCCGCCGCCGCAGCGCCGTGGGCTCGGGCGCGGCCTGGGCCGCCAGCGGTTGCCGCGCCCCCCGAGCATCCCCGCGGTGGGCAGACGGCCGCGGCGAGGGCGTTTTTTGCAGGCGACGCCTGGCAACCGCATGCGGCGGTGCAGGGCCCGGCGTGGGTCGCTTGCTTGAACTGCGGGTGCTGGGCGCCGTGCTGGCGGCGGCTCGCGAGCCAGCCGTGCGGCGGCTGGGCTCCCGCGTTGCCGCCGCGGGCCGCCATGCTGCTCCTGCTGCCGGTGGAGCCCGCTGGCGGCCGCGCGCCGACGCCGAGTGGCGCGCGGCCCTGCGCGCTCGTCCGCAGGAGCGGCCGGGTGCCCCTGACAAATTTGGTGGGCGCGCGCCAGGGCCGCCCCGAGGGCGGCGGCGCGGCCGCTGTAGTTCCCCCTTGCTTCCCGCCCCTCCCCTTCTCTCTTTCTGTCCCCGCTTTGCCACTGGGCTCCTGCACGCTGGTGACAAGGAGACCCGACCAGATGTGACGTTTAGAATTATGTTTCCTGCTCTTACATCCTTCTATCGCATTTTATGCGCACGATAACCCAGCGGTAACGTTTTACCCCCGCCTGAAAATGACTGGTTGCACTACTAGTAGTAGATGTCGTACTCGTAGTGGTAGTTGTAGTAGTTGTGGCCCACGCAGGACACCAAATAGGTATGCGGGGTTCCTCGGTGGCGCAATTATTTTGAAGGTGGCGAAATCCCCACCGGCCGGCTGCTCAGAGCACTGCAGTTGGGGCCCCCCGGCAAAACAAAAACGAGATTGCCCGTCTCTGGCCTCCTTCGTCAGCTCGCACGAAGGCACCCTGAGCTGGCGCCAGCACCGGGGGCCCTCCCTGCTTCTCCTCCTCCTCCTCCTCGACCCCGCTGCTCCCCTCCCGAGCCGCACCGAGGCCCGAATCTGGACCAGGCGCCGGGCGTCGACCCGAGCTCGCCCGAGGCAGCCTACGACGCCGGCTTCACGGTCTTCGGGCAGGTGGACGAAGCCAGCTTGCAGGTCCACGGGGGAAGCTCTCTTGGCAGCCTGTCTCGGGCCGGACGACAGGGGCGGATTGGGCAAGGGGGGGTTACGCAATCTGCTGCATGCAGCTGGCTTCGGCCCCTCCGAGGGGCCCATTCCTCGATACATGGCCGCCTCCGGCGCCAGGAAGCGCCGGGAAAATCAGCTACGTGAGCTGATTATCAAACCCCCTTTTTGCTATCCCCCCCTTTTGCCCGGCCCGATCCACGGGGGAAGCTCTCTTGGCAGCCTGTCGTGCATGAGCGGGCAGACGTGCCACACTAGGTTTCTGCTTGACATCAGATGGAATCGTTCAGGCGCGACGTCGGATCTGCAGGAGTTGGCAGTGATGTTGTGTATCGGGTTGGGAGTTGTGGCGAATAGAGTCTCTCGGGGATGTACACTGCTAGCAGCAATGCAGTGCGCCCCGCGGTAGTCCGCCGTTTTGAGCGTGCCAGAATTGTTCGTTGTTTGAGATTTTTGTTCGTACGCAGCAGTTGCCTTCAACCTCAATTTATATCTGGGCCGTACCCTCCTTGAGTCAGCAGTGTTTGGTGCACAGTCGCATCCATCACCCAGCCACCTCACGTCGGCAGCTTGACCCCAGAGCGGCAGGTCTTCGCTATGCTTCCTCCCTCTTCTTGGGCTTTTCCCTCGGGCCCCCTCCCGGTTCTGTGGGGGTCTCTGCCCCCCCCCTGCCCGATCTGTCGACATGATCCACACGCTGCACCGCGAAGCCGCGGTGACGACCGTGCTCCTGCTCCCTCCTACGTTCGCCCGTGTTGCCTGCACGGGCCTGCACCGCTGGGCCCACCATGACATGACACATCTCATTTCGGTCTACAGTTCACCAGGCACATGTCGATGTTTCATTAGGAAGTTGACCCTTTCAGCGCGGCTCCATGGGACGCACACAAGTTTCTGCCTGACGTTTGCGGATCCGAGGATTCGTTGATATTGTTGTTGGTTGTCGTTGTGATCAGACCGCAGCACACCAGACGATAGACACGCATGGCCGTGAGGAGTTTTTGCTTTTACAAAAAAGGAGAAGCATTACACATGGCAATGGGCTTTTCCGGGCCCTTGGTCGAAAGTCGGGATTCAAATGTCTCGTTCTCATCTTGCCATCCTCGACGTACATGCGGGAGCTGGCGTAGATTTTTGCCTGTGCGCTTCGCCCCGTCCGTCTGCGGCCTGCCTCGTCCACGAAGCGGGGCGCCACAGCCACTGCGGCTGCCGACGCGGCGGTGCCCCGGAGGGGTGCATCGGGCGGCCCTTCAGCTGGCTGCGCAGTGGCGGGAAGGACGTGGTTGTACCGCGGCTGTCCCGTGGTTGTCCCGCGGCTGTCCTCTTGTATTGCCGTGGTTGTCTTGTGGTTGTCCGTTGTTGCCGTGGTCTTGCGGACATCGATCGGTACGTCGTGAGACCGATTGATATGGCGACGATGGTTAGATATGTAGATATACAGAGAGTGGTGCCGATGAATGGATGGAGGGACCGGTAGAGACTTGGATCAATCGGTAGATATTGAGTTCGTTAATTCAGTCTATTGGTTCCGACAGCGAAAAATCACGAAGCCGATGGATTGTCAGATCAATGGGTATGTAGCGAGATCGGTGTATATGTACCTATAGTCATAGAGAGATCGATCGATAGTGAGTTGGATGGTAGATACAGAGATCGACTGATCAATCGTGATATCATAGATAGTGCGACCGATCGGCAGAGGCAACCAGAGGATTGTGATACGCGTAGGTGGCTTGATCGTGAAGTCGATCTCTACATTGTGACACGAATGATCGATAGTTAGATCGACCGATCCGTTGATAATGAGATGGGTATGTTGATCGTGCATTTGGCAGTAAGTCAGATGGATAATGTGGTTACGATGTATGGATGGTGAGGACGGCACATCGTGAGATCGATAGATATTGCGAAGACCTTGCGGCCGTCTCCGCCCACCCTGGAAAATGTGACTCAGGATGGACGGGGTGGGGGGAGGCGCGCGAGGGGAGCAATGTTGGAAGCCTCTGGGGCTAGTTTTGGGGCTCGTTTTGGGGGGCCCGCTCGGGCTAGTTCTGGGGCCCCGGGTTGGGGGTTGGGGGGGGGACGCAGTTCCGTTTCTGAGCAGGTTGAGGCGTGTTTGTGCTCTGCCTTTGGACGCCTCAGGTCCTGTGCTTCAGTCTTCAGGGCTTTTCTCAGGCGGGACCGTCTTGATACCGTCTTGGAGGCCTCTCGGGCCATCTTGACGCTCTTTTGAGTCGTCTTGTGGCCACCTGAGAGGTTTCTTGGGCCGTCAGGGGGCCGTGTTGGACCATCTTGGCTTTTGTACCGTATTGGGGCCCTCCTGGCCGTGTGGGTGGTCTGTTGGGGCCGTTTGGGGCCGTCGAGGGGCGCTCCTGGTCCGTTCTGGGGGCCGCCTTGGGGCTTGTCAAGGCTGCCTTGGGGCTCTCGTGGGGGGCCTCGTGGGCCGTCTTGTCGCGATCTCGGGGGCGTTGTGGACCGTCTTGGGCGGTCTTCGGGTCTTGGCGCGATCTTGCGGGCTTTTTTAGGCCGTCTTGGCCAGTCGAAAAGCAGAAAACGTGAAAACACGACAATCACTGGAAAACTAAAGGGGGATTGATGATTTGTGCTTCTCGTGTCGCTCTTGGGCGCGCTCATGGAGCTGAGCGTGAGCGTCTTTGGGTTTCTTGGGTCGTCTTCATGGCGGCATGACCCGTCTTGGAGTGCCCATGAGCCGTTTCAGAGCTCTCTGGGTCCGTCGTAGACCAAAGTTGCCGGACGAGCGCAAAATTCGCCCGAAGATGACGTAGAAGAAAGGTTGAACGTTTTCCCAGAGGAGGAATGGTTCGACAAGGTTGCCGTGTTACTGATAAGGGCGGAGGCACATCCCTCCCCCCCCTTCTGGCTGGGAAGGCATCAAAGGGAATGGTTTCCCCATCGACGAAATGACGACATTGTTTGATGTCCTTCATATTTGCGTGCGTTTGAGATGGATGGTGTTGCCCCTTCGGGTTGACGCGGCCGCCCAAGACTCACACACGCCGGCAGAGTTTGTGAAGTTTGGCGGTGGGATTGATGGATAGACAGTGAGATTGTTAGCCATGGAGCTCGAAAGATGGAGATCGAGTTCGTTAGAGCGATCGCGAATCGCAATCCAAAAGTTGCGTCCATTCTCCACCTCCCAAACCTTCTTCTCATCCGAAGGATGGTCATACAGGTATGCGCCATTGATTTTGCCCGCCCTGCACTCGCGATCGCAGCAGCTTTGGCTTCTGATGGCTCAAGTTGCCTTGCGCTTCGGTTTTGCGCTGCGAGCAAGTGTTCGTTGTGCCACGCGTAAGCAGTCTTTGTGTCGCTCGTCGCCCCCTCCTCTTGACTTCCCCTCCTCCACAATTTCACATTCTGGGAACTACTCTCCTCGCTCCCGTGACTCTGTTCGGGAAATGTCCGGGCCTCTCCGCGCATTGTGTGTTTTCGGATTTGACAAAAAGTGTTGTTGTTTTACGTTGCCATGCAATCTGATTGCTTCGGTGTTTCAAAATGGTGTTCACTCTGCAGCGTCGGCCTCATTTTCAGATCGGCTCTTTTCTCTTTTCGTTATGATGGCGCTCTCTACCCAGCGCGGGCCACTGTTCTGGATCCGAGTCCTTCATCCTTATCGCCCCCCTCCTTTCCCCTTCGTCTTCCCCTGGTCCTCCTGCTCCTTCCTCTCCTTCCACTCTAATTCCTGTTGCTGCTATTCATCCTCGTCGTCCTTCTCCTTCCTCTTTTCCTTCTCCTCCTGCTCAGCTCCCCTTTTCCGATTGCGAATAACATGATGAGGCCTTTTGGGAGTCCCATTTCCGCTATGACATGCGTCCGCGGATTGAGGAACAAACAGCACAATGGGGAGAGATGGCAAGGAGGGGTAGGATGTTAGATATAGCGCGAGCGTGCCTAGCTTGTCCCCTCCCCCTCTTCTCCCGCCTCCCCCCCTCCTTGGAAAATGAGTCGTGATCCGTGGAACTTTGCGGCATGAGCGCTCGATCCGTTGCCGCGATCGGTGCGGGCTGCGTGGATCCTGAACGCCACCAGGTCGCCGAGCAGATTGCGGCCATGCCGACGACAGCTGAGGGCACCTTGCACATGCTCAATACCCCAGTGGTCTTAGCCTCAGCTGCTTCAATCCATCGAAGAAGAAAAGACGGCATAGACAAGTTTTCGGAGCTCCGAGCGGATCTGTTGGATCGGCTGTGGGCCACCTTGCAGGACATTGGCAGCGCCGCACGCTAGGGAGGGGGGTCCAGCGCAGAACCAAGAAATCCGCGCGGACCTTCAAACGTTTACGATTATGTTGTTCTTTCTTCTTCGAATGCAGCCAGCATTGAAGGGCACTCTGAACGTACCCCCACCAGCCCAGCCAGAAACGACGCCCAGGCGAGCTGCCCGGGTCAGTGATGTGGAGGAGCATGCAGCGGAATAAGGGGTTTGGGAAGCCGGCATTCCCTAAGAGGGGGAGGATGGAGGGGGAATCGGAGGAGGAGGAGGACGAGGAGGAGGAAGAGCAGGAGGAATAGACGGATACGGAGGAGGAGAAAGAGGCGGAGGAGAAGGAGTTGCAGGAGGAGGAGGAGGAAGAGGAGGAGGAAGAGGAGGGCAAGCAGAATTGCCAGAGGCTTCTTGCATCTCGGAGTCTCTTCGGATGTCTCTTCGAGAGCTTCTTGGGTTCCTCTTGGGGCGTCTAGGGGGCCTCTGAGAAGTCCCGTGGGCCGCTTCGAGCGTCATGGGTACCTCGGGGGAGCTTCTTGGGGCCTCTTGGTGGTCTCTTGGGAGCCTCTTGGGGACCTCTTGGGGGCCTCTTGGGGCGCCCTGGGCGCCTCTTGGGCACTCCTAGAGCGCTCGTGGGAGCCTTGAAGGTCAACTTGGGGCCATATGGGAGGAGTTCAATCGAAGAAGGGGGGGGCGCTCAATTAGCTTCGCCCCCCCCCTCCCCCTGGGGGGCCACCATTGCAACA